GTCTCTCTCCTCCTGTTCCTGTCTAAAACACTTGAACGCGCTGTCTTTAAACAACTCTCCTGCTATCTCCATCAGAACAACCTTCTGGATCCGCACCAGTCTGGTTTCAAGTCAGCTCACTCCACAGAAACTGCCCTCCTTGCTGTCACTGAGGAACTGCACACTGCTAAAGCAGCCTCCCTCTCCTCTGTCATCATCCTCTTGGACCTGTCTGCTGCATTCGACACGGTGAATCATCAGATCCTCCTTCGCACTCTCCAAGAACTTGGAGTTTCAGGCTCTGCACTTTCTCTCCTCACCTCATACCTCAAAGACCGCACCTACAGGGTTACTTGGAGAGGGTCCGAGTCCGACCCTTGTCAATTAACTACAGGGGTCCCTCAGGGCTCTGTTCTTGGTCCCCTCCTCTTCTCCTTGAACACAAACTCGCTCGGATCAGTCATTAGCCCGCATGGTTTTTCATACCACTGCTACGCGGACGACACCCAATTAATTCTGTCCTTTCCCCGCTCAGAGACCCAGGTCGTCGCACGCATCTCTGCTTGTCTAGCTGACATCTCTCAGTGGATGTCTGATCATAACCTCAAGCTCAACCTTGACAAGACTGAACTGCTCTTCCTTCCAGGAAAATATTGTCCCACTCTTGACCTAACAATCAACATCGGCAACTCTGTTGTTTCCCCGACTCAGACTGCAAGGAATCTGGGTGTGACCCTAGATAACAACCTGTCCTTCACTGCAAACATCGCTGCTACAACCCGCTGCTGCAGATACACGCTTTACAACATCAGGAGGATGCGTCCCCAGCTGACACAGAAAGCGACTCAGGTTCTGGTCCAGGCTCTCGTCATCTCACGCCTAGACTACTGTAACTCCCTCCTGGCTGGTCTACCTGCATGTGCCAACCGACCTCTGCAGGTCATCCAGAATGCAGCGGCTCGTCTGGTCTTCAACCTTCCTAAATTCTCCCACACCACTCCGCTCCTCCGCTGCCTTCACTGGCTTCCGGTAACTGCTAGAATCCACTTCAAGACACTGGTAAATGCGTACCATCCTGTGAATGGATCTGGCCCTTCCTACATCCAGGACATGGTTAAACCGTACACCCCAGCACGTGCACTCCGCTCTGCATCAGCCAAACGGCTCGCTGCGCCCTCGCTGCGAGGGGGACCCAAGTTCCCATCAGCAGAAACACGTGGGTTTGCTATCCTGGCTCCAAGATGGTGGAATGAGCTCCCATTGACATCAGGACAGCAGATAGCTTACACACCTTCCGGCGCAGACTGAAAACTCATCTCTTTCGACTCCACTTCGAGCGATAGAACTATTAACAAAGCACTTATATACTAATAAAGGACTGGCTTATCTAAAGCCAGTTGAGTAGCACTTGAAATGTTTTTGCTCTATGAAACCTGATGTACTTTATGATTCTGTTTTCTTCAAGTTTGTATTTTGTTGGTCGAACGCACTTATTGTAAGTCGCTTTGGATAAAAGCGTCAGCTAAATGCAATGTAATGTAATGTCTCGCCTGTTGGAGTGAGTTGTATTTTAATAAATGAACGTTGAAATCTCCGCACACATAAAGATTTTTAATTCTATGAGGTCTGAGCATTTTTTCTACTTGTTCATTAAATTCCTCAAGATTACTTCCAGGCTTTCTATACATGCATGAGACGAGTATATGTTTGTTCTGTTTTAGCTCAATGTCTACGGTGACAGATTCAAGGAGGGTGTTGCAGCAGAGGGAAAGACTTTCTACCAATCTCGCAGAAAGTGTGTTTTTAACAAACAGTGGAACCCCTCCACCTCTTTGGAGTTTGCCATTCATACGAAAAGCCACATAATCGGGTAAAGAACGGTCAACAGTGTTTGAGTCAGTTTGCAGGTCTCTGAGATTGCAATGATGTCAAAAGATCTATTTATGAGCTGAAGATATAGTTTGATTTTGTCACTATTTGCATTAAGGCTACGGGCGTTAAAGTGTATTAATGAAAAGCCATTAATAGCTTTGAGTTCTATGTTAAAAAGTGTTTCACTATAGTAGCAGCAGTTGTTGGTAAGATTCCTGAAGAAAGTAGAGTCTGGGTCAATGTGGGAGTCGAAGCAGTTATGTCTTATTAGATGTTCATCAAAGAGATTTAGATCCTTAGAGTTCACTGCGGTCACTGCGGTCACTGCGGTCACTGTGGTCACTGGCCGGGTGATTTGAGTCCATGGTGCATACACGGAGGTCAGTTCATGACTGATCATACAATACAGAGGATTTTAACACACAGGACAAAATACAAAACTGAATATAACGGATTATTATCGGGTGGCCGATGGAACTTTTGACTCACGCTTAATGAATGAAGTGAGGGAAAATAGTGCATAGATGTATTTGCATTATTTGTCAATACTTTAGCGGGAGTAATATTCTTATCCTCAGAGTTCATTAACATGTAGATAAGTCCTCACTGTCCTTCACAATCCATACTTTTCCTTTGTTTGTTTTTGATGAATATTTTACAGTCCCTGGTCCAGGTAGCTTCGATTTTGTTCCTCTTCCTCAGGTCTCTCGCAGTTCTTGCGATATCCGCGTTCCTTTTTGTGAGGTGCTCGTTAATATAGATTCCGGTCCCTTTCAGTTTCTTGGCGTTTATCATCATACGAACTTTTGTCTTTCTGCTCACAAGTTTTTATGATCACCCTTTGGAATCCACTTTCCGACGGCTTCCCAAGTGTGTGGCAGATCTCAATCTCCTCACGCCACGATCGTGAAGTGCCTCGAGCACCTGTGTTTCGACCGAATCATGTCCGTCTCTGTCTGTAAAAGGCGCAGAATCTCCTTTCACTACCTGGAAATATGGTTTTATGATTTTTAGTCTGGTCACGATAACATCCTCTTTTCGGGTGTGTTGTTCAAGCTCCTCGATCCTTCGCTCCATCGTGACAATCTTCTCGTCTTTTTCCTTCATTATCCTCTCCATGCTTCCGATCGTTTCCAGCAGTTTTTTAATTGTTATGCTGTCATCCTTTCGGGTCTTATTTAAGTCACTTATATCCTTGGTAATGCTGGATAAAGCGCCCTTAATTTTTAGGAGATCAGCGTTCGCTGCGTTTGCAGCATTTGCTCGTGTCGCCATCTTTTCACACAATACGTGTTGACTTTTATGTTCAACTGCTAAATTCGTTACTGATAAAAAAGGGCTTCTACTACCTAATTACCTTAACACTAGAACCGCCAGAGGTTTTTGTATAGGCCTACCTAACACCGTCAAATCCCGCTATTAGAATGCAATGTTTAACAACAGGGTGCTACATAACACACTTTCAGGAAAAGTCACGGACTGGGAGACTTTAATATTTTATTGAACATTTTTTACATTGCACACACACAACACACACACAACACACATCACACACATTGACCCGATTGGCGGTTTTAGTGTTAAATAAACTCACTAATGAATTAAACCAGTTCAATACGCATTATTCTTATCATTCTTTATGAGCGCAGAAATAGTCTTAAAATCAGACCTGTTTTTTAAATGAAATCTGACGGCAGGCAGTTAGCTCTGATCACCTATGATGAATGCGCCACACCTAATCGCTGGCCATTCAGCCACAGAGCTCCCTCTATACAAATCAAACTGTAGACGGTGTGAAAGCACCTATTCTTTTAAATGATGGTCGGAATGTGACCTGTGAGCCTTCCGAATTACCGTGGGACAGCACGTTCTAAACTAAAATGTTCAATCAATAAAGCAAGCCCTGTGATTAGTAATTAGATTAGTAATAAATAAAGACTACATATTATTGAATTACAAGATTAGATACACTTTAGTTGATCTAAAATATTGATGTGTTCAAATGCTCTTCAAAACACAACTGCAAGTCAATGAAACTTGTCTTTCTGTATTTGTGAATGAAGCGCCATCTCCTGGTTCAAACCTTAAATTGAAAATCTGGCAACGCCCTCTTGGAAAATAGTGGGAGGGCTTAACATTCCTCGATACTGGTCTTAGGCAGGTTGTAGGCAGGAAGCTGTAAGCTGGAGTCTGAAATGAGGTGCTACATCTGTATATACTAACAAAGGACTTGCTAACTAAGGGCTGACTTATCTAAAGCCAGTTGAGTAGCACTTGAAATGTTTGGCTCTATGAAACCTGATGTACTTATATCATTCTGTTTTCTTCAACTTTGTATCTTCCTGGTCGAATGCACTTATTGTAAGTTGCTTTGGATAAAAGCGTCAGCTAAATTAAATGTAATGTAATTAAAGTTTGTAGAGTGTTTCTTTCTTTCTTTCAGTCTTTATTTCGAACAGATTAAAAAATAACAAATAACAAATGTGAAAAACAGAATACCGTATTGTTATAATATTAATTATTTATCCACATTCATGGTAATATTTGTATATTCAACAAAAAAACAAAAAATGTCTTCATATTAATAATAATAATAAATCATATGTGTCCGAAAGGGAGTAGGAGGAAGCAAATGCTTATTAATTCCCACCCCTTACTTGATCAATGATTGTCCTTTAAATTATTATGCAAGTTATTCCTACTTAGATTTACATTTATACATATACAATCATTTCTCATCTTCAATCACCTCTCTTCATTCTCATATTTTTCCAAAAAAGTGTTTCTGTACATCCTTTTAAACTGAATTATGCTTGTGCTTTGTTTTAACTCCTGCTCCAAACCATTCCATAAAATCACCCCACATTGTTAAACTCATACTTCTCAGAGTTGTTCTGACCTTGAGTTGTTTCAAATGTAGATTTCCTCTCAAATTATACCCACCCTCTCTGTCTACGAACAATGTTTTAATTTCCTAGGAAGTAGATTATGTCTGGCTCTGTACATGATTTGTGCCGTTTTAAATTAAACCAGATCAATGAACTTCATCGGGTGTGTGTGTGTGTGTGTGTGTGTGTGTGTGTGTGTGTGTGTGTGTGTGTGTGTGTGTGTGTGTGTGTGTGTGTGTGTGTGTGTGTGTGTGTGTGTAGGGACTAACGCCTCAGCCTCTGATCAGCTGAGTCTGGCTCTAGCCTGGAACAGAGTGGACATCGCCCGCAGTCAGATATTCGTCTACGGACACCACTGGCCCGTGAGTGCAAATCTATGGGGTCTGGATCTATAAGGGTGCAGATCTATGTGGTCCGGATCTATTGGAGTGCAGATCTATTGGGTCCAGATCTGTTAGATTATAGATCTGTAAGATTATAGATCTGTGTCGTATAGATCTGTAAAATATTTTAGAATATAGATCTGTTAGATCATAGATTTAACAGATATAGATCAGGTGGAATATAGATCTGTAAGATTATAGATTTTAGAGATATAGATCAGGTGGAATATAGATCTGTAAGATTATAGATATATTAGATATAGATCTGTTAGATATGGATCTGCGAGGTATAGATCCTTTAGATCAGGGGTCGGCAACAGGCGGACCGCGGACCTATAATCAATACATTAATAGGGGATTTCAATTTTGATGTGGCGATTATATTTTAACCACCGCCGACAGGGGGCGAAAGAGACGAGTGAGCGATACAGGGAGAGAAACACAGAAGAAGAGACGAGAGAGCGATACAGGGAGAGAAACACAGAAGAAGAGATGAGAGTGCGGCAGAGAGAAGTGGAGAGGAAAGTGAGTGAAGAGAATCATTTGCGATACAGAGAGAGAAGCGGAGAAGAAAGTGAACAGGCGTGTTAGCGGCAGACAGAGAGCGACAAATAATTACACATGGCACTCTCCAAGAAGAGGAAAGTGGACAGTGAGAACAGAGCTTTTAACCCTGAGTGGACTCGTTCATGTTCATCCTGCCCTCTGGGAGCTCAGAGCCAGTGTGTCTCATTTCTTCAGAGACCGTGGCGCTCATTAAAAGAGACAACACGCCACTATGAGACAAAACACCAAGTGTTTGACCAAACGTTCCCTCAGTCAGAGCTGAGGTCAGATGAGCAGCCTCAGAGCCCGATATGATCAGTCCACCAGGATCTACATTCAAACTAAATATGGTTCCAGGGCAGGCTAACCGAGGCTAACCAATGAGCTAACTGAGGCTAACCAATGAGCTAACCAAGGCTAACCGAGGCTAACTAATGAGCTAACCGAGGCTAACCAATGAGCTAACCGAGGCTAACCAATGAGCACCTGCATGTGTGTGTGAGAATGGCCCTGACACCATTTCAGCCCAGATCTAAACTCCTGGCAGGACAATAAGCTCCAGCTCAATTCTCTCACTGAACAGAACAAAGTGAGTGATGGACTGCAATATAAGAGGGACAGAAAGAGAAACTTTAAACTGTTCAGTTGTTATGATGTAAAGACTGATATTGTTCTATAATCGGCTGAAACTGTTAAGTCATGATGTGAAACGGTTAACAAAGAAAAAGATAAACTCAAGCTGCTGCTACACTTTATTTTATTTATCTAAACTTAAGCACTTTTAAGATGCACATATTTTCAAAAGCAATTTGATTTATTTTCTCTATTTTATTTGTAAATGCAGCCCGAGAGGAACATTACACATAACCACAGTATTATATCTGTAGAGTTCAATGTTAATTGACAATACATATTGTTATTTATGAATTGTACTCTCTTTATTTGATTGGCAGTCAGTTGTTGATGACATGCAGACGTTGATAAAGCTACTTCAATATATATCACACTAATTCATAAAGCAACTTAGACATTTTGACGTTCCGGACCTTTGCATGGGGAGATTTTCTCTAACTGGACCTCGTTGAATTTTAGTTGAATACCCCTGCTTTAGCTGATTGATCTTAGAGATAAAGAACCGTTAGATTATAGATTTTAGAGATATAGATCTTTGAAATATAGATCTGTTTGATAATAGATCTGTGTGGTATAGATCTGTAAAGTGTGTGTTGGTCTGCAGCCGGTGAGGCCCTCAGCCAATGAGCGGCCGAAGAGTCCAGGGGCCCAACGAGCAGGAGGGGGGGGAGGGGGAGGTGGGTGGAAGGGTAAAGCCCGCACGAAGAAAGGAAAAGGAGGAAAAACCAAACCGGAGCCGCCGGAGGAAACAGACCCGAGGAAACTGGAGATGCTCAACTGGGTGAGATTGTTATTATTATTATTATTATTATTATTATTATTATTATTATTATTATTATTATTATTACCCTCACTATAAGCTTTATAGAAGAGTCTTCAGTCTATAGCAGCAGAACTAGGAGCTGAGGCCTGTTCTACGAAGCTGGTTCAACGTAACCTGGATATGTTTGAGTTAGCCGGTTGGCCTAATCCAAAACATACGCGCTCTCGCTAAACGCTCTTACGATGCGGGTTATCAAGTGGATCGCTCAAGCCAGCCGTGTCCTATCTAGTTAGGTGCGCGTTCACATGAAAGGGGTGGTATCTGGAGCCTTCGACCAATCACAGACATGGAGAAGCATACTGACAGCGCAGCGTCATACTTCCTGAATGAAAACTCAACTATAATATTAGACATATGAAGAAGTTAAAGTTTAAACATCCATGTCTTAAACACTTGATCCAGGATCAAAGCCACAGAGCTGCACCTGCAAGGTGAATACAGCTGGGAACAGAACAAGTGTTTGAATGCGTACATTAACAGCTTTATGATATCACTGCCCGTCTAAGACACCATCTGACTTTCATTACATTTGACTCCAGTGTTTCCTCAACTTAATGTGTTGCTTCAAATAATCCTTCTGCATCCAGTCTGTGACGCTGTGAGTGTTGCACGGCCAGATACGGCTCAGCTGACTCAGATCAGGAGATGATACATTATGAAGTGATATGCCGCGGACTGTACTTAATGTGACTCTGATCCGGTTACTTATGTTGTGGCAGATATTTCAGTAAGCTTTCTTAACGCTAATGTTATAATAGTCAGACTGCTCTGAAGATGGAGCTGATATTCTATTCATGTTCACGTTCACACAGTCGCTGATTTTTGCCGGCCGTCTTTCCTGCAACGGCAGCTTTTCTGTATTTCCTTTCTCCTGTAATATGACTTGATCGCTTTAAACTCACACACTGAGCTCTGATTGGTCAGCAGGCAATGTTTTCACAGAGTTGAGCTCTTAGCCTGCAACCTAACATGGTCCCGACCAGGTTAGCCGCACAGCATCAGTTACCATGGAGATCTAGCCTGCAAATAAGAGAACCAGCTTCGTAGGACCGGAAACCCAGAGTTTTCCCTGAAGTTAGCCGCTAAGAGAACATCCGGCTTCGTAGTACAGGCCCCTGGTCCCAGGTCAGTCTGAAACAGAACTCACTATAGTACTTCCTGCAGGTGAACTCTCTGGAGCAGGCCATGATGGACGCTCTGGTTCTGGACCGGGTGGACTTCGTGAAGCTGCTGATCGAGAACGGAGTGAACATCCATCACTTCCTCACCATCCCCCGCCTGGAGGAGCTCTACAACACGGTCATACCTTTATAACCAGTATTAATATGCTTACAGACACGAACACCTTTATATCTCAGAATTAAGATTTAAACATGTACAAATACCAGCGGTCAGGGCCTTTGTGTGTGTGTCTACAGAAGGTCCAGTTGTGATAGACAGGGTTCGCCACTGACACACACGCATCTTTATACATCAGTATTAATATATAAACATAAACAAAAATATATATAATAAATGTTATAAAAAAACGGTCCCTAGAATTACGTGACGTTCAAATAAAAACATTGCTGACTTCATGATTAATCTGAGTCACTACTGCAGTAAATGTATATTTAACATGTGTTTTTACTAAAGTAAATCATTATATTATATATTATCTGAGAGGAGAAGACCCTGGTTTGGGTGGGATGTTATATTGTTTTCTTTTTGTGTTTTGCATTTGTGTTACATTAGTTTTAATGTAAAAAAATGGGCATCTTGTCAAATTGTGTCATCTTCGTGTTATCATCGGTGCATTCGCCCTCACTCTGATCGGGGCGAATGCCCGATGGCACCGATGATAACAAGATGCCCTCACGATGGCCTTACGATGGGCAAAATTGACACACGAATTCAACATGAAAATGAACCTTCGCAAGGTCCTTCGGCAATTTTTTGGCATGCCAAAGATTTTGCCTCCGCTCACGAAGTTGCTGCCGGAGCCTGAGAAACTCCACCAGCGATCATACGAAGGATTAAGATGCCCTCACGAATGGCCCGATGTTGCTACGATCACAGCCGAATTTGAACATTTCCTTTATCGTGTGTCCATCGGGTTGTTTTATTGCACAACAAAATCATGTAAATATATTATGTAAATAACCCAATTTGTGTTCTGTGAAACTAAAAAGGATATAATATATTATTTTGAAGGACAGTTGACAGGAAGTTGTTGTTGTTATGGAAACAACATTACGGAGAAAACGTAATATTTTCTACATATAACGACGGATAAAGTAAAGAACAAAGTCTGAAGATATCAGTACAGTATCATAGTACTGTAACATAATTGTTTTTGGTACTTTCATTGCAGTTGTATGTCTTAAATGTAATGTAAATGTTGCCTTCGTGTGTGGTTCGGGGCCATCTTCGTGCGAAATTCACAATTCCATATTCGTGTGTCCATCGGGTGTACATTTCGGGACAGTGTGACAGGGCCTTTAGAGAAGACCAGGAAATGATGGATACACGGATCGTGTTCAAATAAATAGGCACGCAATGTATGTTTAGTATGTTCATGTGTTAAAATGTTCATGTGTTCATTTCTGCAGAAGCTGGGTCCGGCGAATACGCTGCACTTCGTGGTGCGAGACGTGAAGAAGGTCAGTTTGGGGTTTCCTGCTTACAACCATTCTTCATATGAACAAATACAGTAACCAGAAACCTGATTGGTTCTTAATAACTAAAGACATGATATGTGTATTATACCACGTGCTGTTCAGGGGAACCTGCCCCCGGACTACCAGATCACCCTGATCGACATCGGCCTGGTTCTGGAGCTGCTGATGGGGGGGGCGTACCGCTGCAACTACACCAGGAAGAGCTTCAGGACTCTTTACAACAACCTGTACGGCCTGAAGAGGGTGAGCAAATCCACCTCAAAACTGAAAGAGTTTCAATGGTTCTGACTGATGGTTCTGATGGTTCTGGATGAAGTGTTGATGTTTCCAATTATTCTGGATGAAGTTCTGAAAGTTCTGAAGGAAGTGCTGATAGTCGTTGTGGTTCTAATTGTTCTGAATTAAGGGCTGATGGTTCTGGATGAAGTGCTGATGGTTCTGGTGGTTCTGAATGAAGTGCTGATAGTTTTGATGGTTCTGTATGAAGTTCTGATGGCAATGGATGAAGTTCTGATGTATTTCTCTCCTGTCGGTTATCTTGCAGCCTAAAGCTCTGAAGCTCCTCGGGATGGAGGTTGGTACTTCCTGGTTCTGTGGTTCTGTGCTCCCTAGTTCTGTGCTCCCTGGTTCTGTGCTCCCTGGTTCTGTGCTCCCTGGTTCTGTGCTCCCTGGTTTTGTGCTCCCTGGTTATGTACTCCCTGGTTCTGTACTGGTTCTTTACTCCCTGGTTCTGTACCCCCTGGTTCTGTATCATGTTGCTCTGGACTCTGACATGTTGTCTCGCAGGATGACGAGCCGCGAGCGAAGGGCAAGGGGAAGAAGAACAAGAAGAAGGAGGAGGAGGTGGACATCGACGTGGATGACCCGGAGCTCAGCCGGTTCCAGTACCCGTTCCACGAGCTGATGGTGTGGGCCGTGCTCATGAAGCGCCAGAAGATGGCGCTGTTCCTGTGGCAGCGCGGCGAGGAGGCCATGGCCAAAGCTCTGGTGGCCTGCAAGCTCTACAAGGCCATGGCCCACGAGTCGTCTCAGAGCGAGCTGGTGGACGACATCTTCCAGGACCTGGAGAACAACTCCAAGTGAGTTATTATACACCTTCCAGGACATGGAGAACCACTCCAAGTGAGTTATTATACAACTTCCAGGACCTGGAGAACCACTCCAAGTGAGTTATTATACAACTTCCAGGTCCTGGAGAACCACTCCAAGTGAGTTATTATACACCTTCCAGGACCTGGAGAACCACTCCAAGTGAGTTATTATACACCTTCCAGGACATGGAGAACCACTCCAAGTGAGTTATTATACATCTTCCAGGACCTGGAGAACCACTCCAAGTGAGTTAAAGTGAGATAAAGGAGGGCCCAGTGTTTCCTAAATGAGGTGATAAAGGAGGGTCCGGTGTTTCCTAAAGGAGGTGATAAAGGAGGGTCCAGTGTTTACTAAAGGAGGAGGTAAAGGAGGGTCCAGTGTTTCCTAAAGGAGGTGATAAAGGAGGGTCAAGTGTTTCCTAAAGGAGGTGATAAAGGAGGGTCGAGTGGTTCCTAAAGGAGGTGATAAAGGAGGGTCCAGTGTTTCCTAAAGGAGGTGATAAAGGTGGGTCCAGTATTTCCTAAAGGAGGTGAATATGGAGAAATTGAAGCTCCTTTCCTCTCATCTAGAAAATCAGCTCGAATCATGGCTGCAGACCACAGACTTCAGGTCACTCTGTCAGGAACCTTCCTGGTCTTAACTCATAATGAGAATGCAACCCTGGTGTTTTGTGACCACACAAACAGGAAGTGTGTTTTCATGACTTCCTGCTTTCTGTGTGCAGGGAATTCGGGCAGCTGGCCTACGAGCTGCTGGATCAGTCGTACAAACACGACGAGCAGGTGGCCATGAAGCTGCTGACCTACGAGCTGAAGAACTGGAGTAACTCCACGTGTCTGAAGCTCGCCGTTGCTGCCAAACACCGAGACTTCATCGCCCACACCTGCAGCCAGATGCTGCTCACCGACATGTGGATGGGCTGCCTGAGGATGGGCAAGAGCAACAGCCTGGAGGTAACGCGCACGACACCAGGCTGACCTTGGTTGGCAGATAAAGTATTTTAATATTATATTGATCTAGTTTTTGTCTGCAGGTGATCTTAGGGCTGGTCTTCCCGCCTCTAATCCTCCTCATGAAGTTTCGTCTTGGAGAGGAATCTTCCTTTCATTCGTCCAGAGAGAACGACGAGGGCAAAAACAAAGACGACGACAAATCCAGCAAGGTACTAACACTTCAGATAAATATGAATAGTTCACTTTCATATCAGAGTGTAGCAGTTTGAGTTTGTTTTTCAGGACGCCGCCTCCAACGTGGACGCCACGTCAAAGAAAGGAGACGAGGATGAAGACCAGAAGAAGAAGAGGAAGACTCCCATCGGGAAGAAGATCTATGAGTTCTACAACGCTCCCTTCACCAAGTTCTGGTTCAACACGGTATAGATATTATAATCTCTGAATTATTATCTGTCATTTTCTTTAAGAGTTCAGACAGTTTGTCTCTCCTGGTTTTTATAAAGACTACGAATGTTCAAGACCTGAAAACTGTTTCAGGTCCAGGATCATCAAGAAAAAGACAAAAAACATTAATGAAAACATTCAAATTCAATTAAAATATCAATAATAATAACAATAATACATTATTAATTATAATAATTATAATACTCTCTCCACAGCTCTCCTACCTTGTGTACCTGGCTCTGTATAACTACATCATCCTGGTGAAGATGGAGCGCTGGCCGTCCCTGCAGGAGTGGATTGTCATCTCCTACATCATCACGCTGGGCCTGGAGAAGGTCCGACAGGTAAGCACACCTGAAGCCTAAGGAGGTGATAACGGTGTGCGTTGCGGTGACACTTGTTAGCAATTCTAGAACCCTGAGAGCAGGACATACTGAAAAGAGTCAAGGGAAGCCTATAAAAGTTAACAGCATTTAATTACACAAAAGATGCGTTGATGTACAAATGAAATCCGCGAGTGGCGGCTCTCCCACCAAGCCTCCGGTCACCCCAGGTCAGGGGGTGAAGAGATCGATTATTGGCTTGCCCTTCCTGTTGTCATCTGAGGTCTTCTCCTATTGCCCGGGGTCGTCGGGGGGTGGGTCCAATGCAATTCCTGCCTTTTTCTGTTGCTAAATTAGATCATTCTGGTGTCTGTGGTTATTTAAACATTCCCTGATAAACGTTATTCAGCGTCAATAAATGAGTGCTAATCCCAGTGTGTTTAGTGTACAACATCACATGCCATTTCACCTTCAATTCACGGTTTGAAAATGTAGCATTTCGCCACATGCTAATGCTAACCGGAAATGAAGAATTTTCAGAATAAAAGTGTTAAGTTAATAGCTAGTGTGAACTTCCGTTTTTTTCAGAATAAAACGTATTTAAATTAAAGGGGACCTATCATGCAAAATGCACTTTTGTACGTCTTTTATACATGAATATGTGTCCCCGGTGTTCCAGGGAACTCACCAAGTGTCATAAAACACAACCCTCTCTTTTCCTCCGTACCCAAAGCTGCAACGGATCTGATAAAAACTGATCCAGATTTGAACACTGTCCTGACGTCAGGACGGTGGAGCTACGGCTATTGGGCCAACTCTCCACCTATCAGGAGAATGTGGGGTTGGGCCACGGCCGGTCCTTGCCGCTCGAAAGCGCTGGAGACGCTGTAGTACATATGCCAGGCCTGTAAGTGGCGCTGTAGTCTGCCACAAAAGCAGCGAAGAAGACTTCCCGCGCATGGTTGCCATGGTTGCCATGGTTGCCCTTCTGGTTATTCTCCGCTGTGGCTCTCTTTCTCCCTCCCCGAGGCGAGCGTTTGCTCCCGCTGCTGTAATTCAATGCAATCCCTCCCCGTCGCGGCCAGCACTGTAATTCTCTCCGGTAGTCCACAAGCAGATGACAAACACCCACTTCCAAGGGACGAGGGGACCGTGTGGCAGAGTTTCAGTTAGGTTTTCTTTCGACGGTCAACATGTCCGTTAAAGTTTAAATCTTCCGGACCAAATTAGAGAAGTGCCGGTCAAAGGTCTTCTTTGTTATTTATTGAGCTTTAAAACAAATGAATAACGACTCTATATAATAATATAATAAAACACTGAGGACGGAGATATATTTTTCTCACCCTCTTCTGACTTGATCAGAGCACGCTCCCCTCTCCTGCAGGGGGGCGTGGTCAGCTGCAGCTCACAGAATCAGCCCCCTGCAAAAACAGGGCTGGAGAACAGCAAATAGAGCGAAATGAGGCATGACTAAAATGCATGATCTGTTTGGTATTTTGAAAACAGAAACGTATAAATATACCTTATATAGGTATGGCCCTACAATATATCATTTAAATATAGCATGATACGTGTTCTTTAAATAGTATATTTAATTCAAATTACACCATATCAACATTGGTTTTAATTTCTAACACACTAGAAGACTGTATCTGTATAACGAGTACGAAAAAGTGAGTAACGAGGAGTGTTTGAAACTCAGCTTGTACAGAGCAGGTAATGTGCACAGAAAGTCTGAAAAACCAGTAAGGAACTGGCAGTGTTGGTCTGGGCCTGGCAGAGGATCAGGAAACAAAGAGGTAACTCAACCGGCTGGTGGGCTCACCGGGGTTTCAGGAGAGGAAGGCAGGGTCGGCAACGGGAAGTCAATCTGGAACAAAGTCTGGAAGAGTCTTGCATGAGAGGCTTAACCCATAAGAACCGGACCCATTTCTACTTTTGGGAAAATTAAGGGCAAAATAATTTACACTAATATACTACTTAAAACACATTTCTGACAAGTAACCCCCCCTAGTGTCAAATATCTGAAAAGTGACATTTATGTCACATTGGGCTTTAATGGTAAAATAACTCTTATAACTTAATTAATGAGGAGGATTTTTTTGTTTAAATTAGTTTGAACATTCTTTGAATTTAGGAATAAAGAATATATTAACTACATATCATTGAATCAGCTAAATTAACTTAGCAGATCATTATCATATTTCTCATTCTGACATATGTGTCAATCCAGATTTACTTTGAAAGTTTAAGGTTAAAGTCCCGATGTGACATCAGTTTCACAGCGATGTTTATTTCATTTGTTTCATATCAATCTGATCAATAAATATTTCCACAACAGGTTAAATGTAACAAAGGACGTGTTATGTAAGTATTTTAATTCTTAAATGGCTTGAATTTTACATTTAGCAACACAAAACAAGCTTCTGAAATGTAGCTAGTTCTGTCACATGTGTTAGTCTGACACATGGACATCTTGGACATGTTGTTATGGAAATACTAAATCACATGACCTGGCCCATGACCCACCAGACTGTTCAGGATGTGTTACTTAGGGACTTCATGAGATAAAAACAAGGCTAAAGCTGTATAAGGAACTTTTCAGAACAGTTAAATGTCCTGTAACACCTGTCACGGTGGGTCCTTTTAAACACTGGCTTGATTGCAGATGAGCAGCAGCTGGGAGCACATGTGAGCTGAGTGGCTGACAGGTGGGGTGAGGTGGAGGTGGGGCTAAGGAAAAGTACTGATAGTGTATAAATGTACTGAATCCCACCTCAGATCCTGATGTCGGAGCCCGGGAAGCTGAAGCAGAAGATCAACGTTTGGATGGAGGATTACTGGAATATCACGGACATGGCGGCCATCGCCGTGTTCCTGCTGGGTCTCCTCCTGCGGCTGCAGAGCGAACCCTCCATGGGCTACGGACGCGTCATCTATTGCGTGGACATCATCTTCTGGTACATCCGAGTCCTCGACATCTTCGGCGTCAACAAGTACCTGGGGCCCTACGTCATGATGATCGGGAAGATGGTACGTCACTACTACATGTAACTGTTGATGAAACTCATTAAAATAAAGCTTCCTGTCAACAACAGGTGGCACTATATCTATGACTCATCATTTACCGGTTAAAGTCCTAAGGCCGGGACTCTAATGAAGCAAAGGACATTTAGACCAGGTTGGACCCTGCATGCCTAAGTCTCAAATTGGCTGCCATGCTACGGCCAGAGCGTTGAACTGAAAGCTTTGACTAAATTATTGACCAACAACGACAACAAAATGATCATATTTTACCTCAATTTTAAACGCCTCAAAATGATGTTGAAATAACTTCATACTGATATTGATGCTTTGGCTATTCCGGGTCGTACCGAGCAAAACACTTTAAATATTAATTCTGAAAGGAGATCGGATCGATCAGACTACGCTACCGTTGTAGCGAGTTTGTTCGTACATCTCCTCGCATTTGCTTTGCACCTGGTGTTTATAACAGATGATCGACATGCTGTACTTGGTGGTCCTCATGCTGGTGGTCCTGGTGTTTATAACAGATGATCCACATGTTGTACTTGCTGGTCCTCATGCTGGTGGTCCTGGTGTTTATAAAAGTTGATCGACATGCTGTACTTGCTGGTCCTCATGCTGGTGGTCCTGGTGTTTATAACAGATGATCCACATGCTGTACTTGCTGGTCCTCATGCTGGTGGTCCTGGTGTTTATAAAAGTTGATCGACATGCTGTACTTGCTGGTCCTCATGCTGGTGGTCCTGGTGTTTATAACAGATGATCCACATGCTGTACTTGCTGGTCCTCATGCTGGTGGTCCTGGTGTTTATAACAGATGATCCACATGCTGTACTTGCTGGTCCTCATGCTGGTGGTCCTGGTGTTTATAACAGATGATCCACATGCTGTACTTGCTGGTCCTCATGCTGGTGGTCCTGGTGTTTATAACAGAAGATCCACATGCTGTACTTGCTGGTCCTCATGCTGGTGGTCCTGGTGTTTATAACAGATGATCCACATGCTGTACTTGCTGGTCCTCATGCTGGTGGTCCTGGTGTTTAGAACAGATGATCCACATGCTGTACTTGGTGGTCCTCATGCTGGTGGTCCTGGTGTTTATAACAGATGATCCACATGTTGTACTTGCTGGTCCTCATGCTGGTGGTCCTGGTGTTTATAAAAGTTGATCGACATGCTGTACTTGCTGGTCCTCATGCTGGTGGTCCTGGTGTTTAGAACAGATGATCCACATGCTGTACTTGATGGTCCTCATGCTGGTGGTCCTGGTGTTTATAACAGATGATCCACATGCTGTACTTGCTGGTCCTCATGCTGGTGGTCCTGGTGTTTATAAAAGTTGATCGACATGCTGTACTTGCTGGTCCTCATGCTGGTGGTCCTGGTGTTTATAACAGATGATCCACATGTTGTACTTGCTGGTCCTCATGCTGGTGGTCCTGGTGTTTATAACAGATGATCCACATGCTGTACTTGCTGGTCCTCATGCTGGTGGTCCTGGTGTTTATAACAGATGATCCACATGCTGTACTTGCTGGTCCTCATGCTGGTGGTCCTGGTGTTTATAACAGATGATCCACATGCTGTACTTGCTGGTCCTCATGCTGGTGGTCCTGGTGTTTATAACAGATGATCCACATGCTGTACTTGCTGGTCCTCATGCTGGTGGTCCTGGTATTTGTAACAGATGATCGACATGCTGTACTTGCTGGTCCTCATGCTGGTGGTCCTGGTGTTTATAACAGATGATCCACATGCTGTACTTCGTGGTCCTCATGCTGGTGGTCCTGGTGTTTATAACAGATGATCCACATGCTGTACTTCGTGGTCATCATGCTGGTGGTCCTGGTGTTTATAACAGATGATCGACATGCTGTACTTCGTGGTCCTCATGCTGGTGGTCCTGGTGTTTATAACAGATGATCCACATGCTGTACTTGCTGGTCCTCATGCTCGTGGTCCTGGTGTTTATAACAGATGATCCACATGCTGTACTTGCTGGTCCTCATGCTGGTGGTCCTGGTGTTTGTAACAGATGATCGACATGCTGTACTTCGTGGTCATCATGCTGGTGGTCCTGATGAGCTTTGGCGTGGCGAAGCAGGCGATCCTTCACCCGGACGAGGAGCCCACCTGGAGGCTGGCCCGCAACATCTTCTACATGCCTTACTGGATGATCTACGGAGAGGTGTTTGCAGACTCCATAGACTGTAAGACTAGAGTTCATAGTAAGACTGCAAAATGTCCATCCTCACTGTCCTTAACCTCTGTCCTTAACCTCTGTCCTTAAGCTCTATCCTTAACCTGTGTCCTTAACCTCTGTCCTTAACCTATATTATTAACCTGTGTGCTTAACCTGTGTCCTTAACCTGTGTATTCATCTTCTATCCGTAAACTCTATCCTTAAACTATATCCTTAACCTATCTCCTTAACTGTGTCCTTAACCTGTGTCTTCACCCTCTATCCTTAATCTCTATCCTTAACCTCTATCCTTAACCTATGTCCTTAACTGTGTCCTTAACCTGTGTCTTCACGCTCTATCCTTAACCTCTATCCTTAACCTCTGTTCTTAACCTCTCTCCTTAACGGTCCTTAACATCTGTCCTTAACTTCTGTCCATAACCCCTGTCCTTAACCTCTATCTTTAACCTCTGTCCTTTTTTATTTTGATATACTTTATTAATCCCTGTGGGGAAATTGTTTCTCTGCATTTGACCCATCCTGTGTTAGGAGCAGTGGGCTGCCATTTTTGAACGCCGCCCGGGGAAAACGTAACCTCTAACCCTAACCCCTGTCCTTAACCTGAGTCCTTAACCTCTATCCCCACCCATTTTCCACAGAAATGTCGCCACTGTGCAGATTGGTCCTCTGCTGTCCAATGTATGGCTTATTATAACTGTAATTTGATTTTCTGCCTCTTTTCTGTTTCCCTTTGACTGTTGACGGACAGTGTATGCGATGGAAATCAACCGTAAGTGACTCAGACATCATTTACCGTGAACTTCAGCTCACTATCTTCTTCTCTTTCAAAATAAAAGCCCACAAGTTTGTCGAGTTGAGTTGTTTTATTGTGAACGTTTTCTGAAAGCAGATGACCTGCACAGGCGATATATATATATATATATATATAGATATAGATAGAGCACATATAATAATGCTGTGTTTGGGTTTAGCTCCGTGTGGAGACAACTTGTACGATGAAGATGGGAAGAAGCTCCCCCCCTGTATCCCCGGCGCCGGGCTCACCCCCGCCCTCATGGCCTGCTACCTGCTGGTGGCTAACATCCTGCTGGTCAACCTGCTCATTGCTGTCTTCAAGTCAGTGTTAAATACATATACACACAGCACACACTGACCACAGACCAGGAAACACACTGACCCCAGACCAGGAAACACACTGATTGATTGATTGATTGAAAAGTGTATTAACAGCTTGTATATTGGGTACAGTACAGTACAGCTCAAAACATACAATTGTTAAGGGGATGCAGACCAGAGAAAGACTTTCGTCTTGTTTACATCAGGGTCCCCCATTTCCAATTCATCATATCATTTAAGACATTTAAGACATATTTGACATACAGATGGCTTATTTACAATTTTCATTTTAGATTTGGTTCTAATTAGGGCCGGGACTCGATTAAAAAAATTAATCTAATTAATTAGAGGCTTTGTAATTAATTAATCGAAATTAATCGCATTTTTAATCACATATAAATATTTGACCTGAGAACAGTGAGAAGCAATTTTTTTCACATGGATTTTAGTATACCATTAGGCGCATTCACACCGCAGTACTTTTCCCACAAAGGTTCATGAGAACTTAGTTCATGAGAACTCTTTGAACCTGGGGGTGGATTAGGCAAATGAAGCCGCTGACGTCACTTCTTCTTCTTCTGCTCTGGGTTTACTGGCAGGCCGCAAACCACTTCACGGCGTATACTGCCGCCCAAAGTCCCCGGCCGGAAGTCCCCGGAGTTGGGGACTGGCTTCAGTAGAAGCTGCTGGGACTCCCAGCAGCTTCTACTGAAGCCTTCCGAGTAAATCGCCAGAACGCCGACACCTCCTCATCTCCACCGCTCCCATGTTTTATTTTGTGTTGCCATAAGTTAGTCTCTCTGCGTTTCTGCGCTGGGCTAATGCTAATAATGCTAATGCGAGGATATGGCGACAATGGTGGCTTCACAAAACTTTTTGGGAGTTTTACGGGGCGTGGTTTGCAATCCGCCCAGCCAATCAGACATATAGCTCTCTTCTCACAAGAGAGCCGTACGAAAGTCCCTGCTAGAGAGCAGGGACTTTCGTGGTCCCTGCTAGAGAGCAGGGACTTTCGTGGGGTGAACTAATTTTAGTACCGGCTCTTTTTGGTGTGAACGCGATAAAAGAGGCTAACGTCCACGCTAGCTTCCACGCTAGCTGCTATATGTTTTTGCATTGAGGTGATACTTGAGGCTTGATGTGCTGCGGTGATATGCGAATTCCTTTTTGCATAATTTGCACACAACCGTGCTCTTATCGACGCTTCCATCCGTCCGTTTTTCAAAACAACATTTCCCACTGTTGTTCACTGTGGTTTGTTGTTGTCTGAAGTCATGAACGTTAGTTGGTGCTCCAGTATAATCGGTACGCCTGAAACTCATCCAGTGAGGGGGGGGGGGGGGGGGGGGAAGCTGTCCATTGAACGACAGGTTGAGATTTGTACCATTACCGGGGCCAGTTTTGCAATGCTCTCCCCCGAAGGTGCTCTTTAAGAGAGGTTTTGAAGGTAAGTATAGTTTTACTTTCCTTTACAGTTGTGGGAAGAGCGTTCCACCTTGATGTGGCATCATTGCGAAACGTGTATTCCCCCTTTTTTGTCTGACCCCAGAACAGGAAACACACTGACCCCAGATCAACACCTCTACAAAATAAAATGTTATTTCCAAGTTAATATTTACACTAATCTGCATTTAATTTAAGACTTGAGGAGAAATCTTCTTACCTCTCGACCAATATAATAATAGCATTTTTCAAGTTCAACCACTGGCATGAGGCTTAGTTTGATCTCAAGCACAAAGTTAGTTTTGAACCTTAGCACAATATTTAGTTTTGACATCAAAATGTTAAAAGAAAATTGTTAAAATATTAACACGTGGCTAATTTTGAACTCCATATGATATCTACAGGCTATGTGTCAAAGCATGGTAAAGTAAAAACAAGGCTTTGTTTACACGTTAGCACAAGGCTAAGTTGGAACATTAGCTCAAGGTTTTGTTTACATGTTAGCACAAAGTTGACCTGCTGTCCTCCTCTTCCTCTCCGCAGTAACACGTTCTTCGAGGTGAAGTCCATCTCTAACCAGGTGTGGAAGTTCCAGCGCTATCAGCTGATCATGACCTTCCACGATCGGCCCATCCTGCCCCCCCCCCCTCATCGTCTTCCCACACATTTACATCATGCTGCGCAGACTCTGCTGCCGCTGCCGGCGCCGGACCGACGGCGAGCGCGATGACGGCGAGAGGCGCCTCCGTAAGAGTCAAACATTTATATCTAATTATCTATTTTTAATAACAACATATATATACTCCTTGGTTAGAGCATATTAGATTAATATCTAATGTGTTATTTTTAATAACATATGCTGAAAATAAACATATACAGGAATATCTGTCCGATGTTAAATTAGAGATACACGTTCATCTATCCTCTTCCAACATTTTAAATAAATATATTGTTATATATTTATGTGTATTTCAGAGCTGGTGTTGAGTGCGGAGGAGCTGAAGAGTCTGCATGAGTTTGAGGAGCAATGTGTGGAGGAGTACTTCAGAGAGAAGGAGGACGAGAAACAGTCATCCAACAACGAGAGGATCAGAGTCACCTCAGAGAGGTACCCCACCACATATATATTTTTATATATAGACATTTTTATTCATTGGGATAAAGCCCTTGAGATGCACCATCTCGTTTTCAAGGGGGTCCAATAGCAACAACTGACAGACATAAACAAAAAGACAAAATGCAAAACATGACACACAAGACAAACCACATACAGTCTGTTAAGTACAATTCAAGCAAAGCACACAAACATTACAATTTGAGACAGTCGAGCAAATCAGTTTCATCAATATCAGTTATAACAAGTACAGAGCAGTTGAAAGTGAGATGATAATGTTTAAATAAACCCAATGATGCAAGAGATCTAATGGCAGCAGGTAAAGTATTCCAGTCTGTTGGGGCTTTGAAAATGAACGCTCTTCTGCCAATCCATTTTTTGGCAGAGGACAGAGAAATAAATCTGAACAGAATGTCTATATATAAACTCTATTAGTATACTTCTACAGACTTCTATCATGTGTGGCAGGGTGGAGAACATGTCCATGCGTCTGGAGGAGGTGAACGAGCGGGAGCACTCAATGAAGGCGTCCCTGCAGACCGTGGACCTCCGGCTGACTCAGCTGGAGGAGTTTTCCTCCCGGATGGTGAGTGCTCTTGAGCGGCTGGGGGGACTTGACCGGGCCGAGCTGGTCTGCAGCCGGGGCTCCTCCCTCTGCGAGGGCCCGGGCCTGCTGCGCCACGGCAGCATGAACAGCAGCGACGGGTACAGCCTGTACCGTTACCAGCTGGAGCTGGAGGACCGGGGCCCCGGGTCTCCAGAGGGGGGGAAGGGCCTCTCCGGGTCTCCAGAGGGGTGGAAGGGCCTCTCCGGGGACACGGAGGGGGGGAAGGGCCTCTTCGGGGACACGGAGGGGAGGAAGGGCCTCTCCGGGGACACGGAGCTGGGGAAGGGCCTCTCCGGGGACACGGAGCTGGGGAAGGGCCTCTCCGGGGACACGGAGCTGGGGAAGGGCCTCTCCGGGGACACGGAGCTGGGGAAGGGCCTCTCCGGGGACACGGAGATGAGGAAGGGCCTCTCCGGGGACACAGAGCTGGGGAAGAGCCTCTCCGGGGACACAGAGCTGGGGAAGAGCCTCTCCGGGAAGACGGAGGATGGGAAGGGCCTCTCCGGGGACACGGAGCTGGGGAAGGGCCTCTCCGGGGACACGGAGCTGGGGAAGAGCCTCTCCGGAGACACGGAGCTGGGGAAGAGCCTTTCCGGGAAGACGGAGGAGGGGATGGGTCTCTCCGGGGACACAGAGCTGGGGAAGGGCCTTTCCGGGGAGACGGAGGATGGGAAGGGCCTCTCCGGGGACACAGAGATGGGGAAGGGCCTCTCCGGGGACACAGAGATGGGGATGCGCGTCTCAGGGGGGACGGAGGATGGGAAGGGCCTCTCCGGGGACATAGAGCTGGGGAAGGGCGTCTCCGGGGGGATGGAGGATGGGAAGGGCCTCTCCGGGGACATAGAGCTGGGGAAGGGCGTCTCCGGGGGGATGGAGGATGGGAAGGGCCTCTCCGGGGACACAGAGATGGGGAAGGGCCTCTCCGGGGACACAGAGATGGGGAAGGGCGTCTCAGGGGGGACGGAGGATGGGAAGGGCCTCTCCGGGGACACAGAGATGGGGAAGGGCCTCTCCGGGGACACAGAGATGGGGAAGGGCCTCTCCGGGGACACAGAGCTGGGGAAAGGCGTCTCTGGGGACACAGAGATGGGGATGGGCCTCTCCGGAGACACAGAGCTGGGGAAGAGCCTCTCCAGGGACACAGAGGTGGGGAAGGACCTCTTCAGGGCCGGGGACATTGAGGGGGGCAACGAGAGCTTCCAACTGAGCCCAGAGAGACGAGCCAGACCCCTGAGAGGTGGGTCAAGAACCAGGAAGCTAACACTGAAGGACCTTAGTTAACAGGATTAAAGTCGTAAAATTAAAACAAAAACTGCTAAAAACAGGGAAAAAACGTGGATGTTCTGAGATTAAAGAGAATATCTGCACTAAAAAAACACACAGATTCATGATAAATGATGAATGTGGGTTTTTCTGCAATTAAAGTCTCAATTTATGATAAAATCGTACAAAGGTATGAGAAAATAACTTAGATTATCTCTGAGAGAAACCGTTTGTACACCTGCGCCTACTTAACCTGTGCTAACACATGCTAACCTGTACTAACAGTACAAACACATGCTAACCTGTGCTTCCTGTTTCAGGGTGGACTCTGGAGGTGGGGGTTTCCAGAGAGAGGACTCAGTCTCTGTCCAACGTTAACATCCTGATCTCCCCCTGCCCCCCCTACCCCAACCCCCCCATCAGCCCAGACCCTCCGGAGGAAACCCGGCTGTGGGGTTCGGTGTCCTTCCCCCTGGAGAGGTCAAAGGTCACGCAGTATCTGTCCTCCCCCACCCTCAGCAGCTCCTCCAATAGGAAGTTCTTCAGCAGCACAGTCATCTGTAGCTCCGCCCACCAGGACCCGGAGGACAAACAGGAAGTGGAAGAGAGTAACATCGGAGAGGGGGAGGAGCCTCTGGAGGACAGGATGTACCCAACGCTGCGCTCCAAGAGTCTGAACATCAAGCAGAGGAAGACGAGGAAGAAGGATGGCGAGGAAACGCTGCGAACCGCCGGCAGCGTGAAGGACCTGGTGTTCAGAGACTCCGACTGATGAACATGAAACAAACGCAGAGGAAACAAAAGGAACTTTGTTATTTTATTATACAAAGAACCAGGACTTTTTATCCGAGTAATACATGCCGCCCTTTCCTGGTTTTTATTATGTGACTAAATACAGATTTACTCTACAGGTCCCAAACCTCTTCCATCAGGAGAAACGTACTGCAGCTTCAGAAACGATGCAGATAGAACATCATAACTATTCCATACATGAAGAAACATCTTTAAAACACAACGGAAAGCAGGACCACATTGTTTTATTTGATTTGTCTGTCACTAAAATGTATTTTTCAGCATCTTTTTGAAATATGGTCTAGCTGCAGCCTCCGCAAGTACACGACACGCCTACCTGACACGACACTACGGTTGGCTGAGAGACATTGACACCGTACATGGCAGATTAAAAACGAATTGCAAATGTTATTGTAGCATTTTAAGCAACTATTAGGCACATTATTAATCTATCTATCCGTTTGAGACACAACAGTATAATGACTTTAAGCACAAATCATTTTGTCTAATTAATAAATAAAAACAAAAAGGGGGCTTAGTAAACTTTATTTTTTAGTAAATATAAATTGGTAATAATGAGATCATCTATTAATGTTTGTGTAACTGCTACACATGTTTTAATACATACATGTAGATATTTATGAACGTCTAAATATAGTTGTTAAAGGTTTTAAGTTATAAATAATCACATCATGGGGTCATTAAGGTTTCAAGCATGTTCATGTAAGGTAGGCCTAATATAACATGAAAACATGATTTTAAAATGTCTGAATCTCACATTAGCCTGTAGTTTGGTATGTTGTTGATATTGGCTGGACACCCCTTCACAATGATCATCATTGATTTTTTTTAGACCAAATTAGGAAGGCCAGTCAGGCCACTAATGAGCTCAATCATTCACATGTATTATTATTACTTTATAAATTAAGAGTATATAGTCTATCACAAAACCTTTGAAGGAATCCTCATGCATTCTGAATGTTTCTGTACTTTAAAAACATCATGGCTCAAGATCCTGTTCTTGTTTAAGATTATTCATACTAATTTGTGAATTTAACATCCATATTCACTAGGGATGTAACGAACCCAAAACTCACGGTACAATAATATCGTGATAACAAGTCCACGGTACGGTATTTATCGCGATATTGAATGATAAAGGGAAAAAAATGTTTGTTTTTTTATTTAAAAATGTTCTTTATTAAATAATAAATCTGATGTGTACATTATTTTTAGTAGGATAGCAGTATTTTAAAGTGTCAAAAACAAAGTGACAGTAACAGACTGGAACAAGAAAATCACTAAAAATCACTAACTCAGCATCATCAGACAGGTTATTAGGAATATGAGCATGTCCACATTTCCAGGTAGAAGCTGGGATGTTTGGGCATTTACAATATCCCTTGCTGTGGAAAAAACTCTCTCGCTTGGTACTGATGTTGCTGGGACAGCAGTGGTCGCGTTAACCGAATATATTTTTTAACAATGACGGAAACATCTGAAAGCAGTCTGTCATTTTGACAGATTAGAACAAACTCGGAACAGCACCAACGTTTCCCCGCAGCGAGGCTCTGGTGTTATGCCATGTTATGCATGCCCTCCACAAGCAAATGATATAGTTTCCAAACCGTACTTTGCTGTACAGATCATTGAAATGTCTGGGAGGTTTTGCTTTACGCTGTGCGCGCTCCCGCAAGGTGCATGCATATCTCGGTGGGCATGCATAACACGGCATAACACCGCCCCCCTGTTGACAGTTCACGAGCATGCCCCCTCTCTCTCCCCCCCCCCCCCCGGTGTCAGCGCGACAAGTTAGTGGCGAGTTCAGACCCGACGAGTAATAATGGATTATGACGGATATTTTACGATCCTGTCTGTCAAAATGACGGACAACGAAAAAGTCTAACGCCACCACAGTAGAACAGAGAGATATTCCGGTAACTGCTAGAATCCACTTCAAGACACTGGTACTTGCGTACCGTGCTGCGAATGGATCTGGCCCTTCCTACATCCAGGACATGGTTAAACCGTACACCCCAGCACGTGCACTCCGCTCTGCATCAGCCAAACGACTCGCTGCACCCTCGCTGCGAGGGGGACCCAAGTTCCCATCAGCAAAAACACGTGGGTTTGCTGTCCTGGCTCCAAGATGGTGGAATGAGCTCCCCATTGACATCAGGACAGCAGATAGCTTACACACCTTCCAGACTGAAAACTCATCTCTTTCGACTCCACTTCGAGCGATAGAACTATTAACAAAGCACTTATATACTAATAAAGGACTGGCTTATCTAAAGCCAGTTGAGTAGCACTTGAAATGTTTGGCTCTATGAAACCTGATGTACTTTATGATTCTGTTTTCTTCAAGGTTGTATTTTGTTGGTCGAACGCACTTATTGTAAGTCGCTTTGGATAAAAGCGTCAGCTAAATGCAATGTAATGTAATGAGATATGATGTGGCCATGGGTGAAAGCAGTGGGTCAAACTGTGCATGGTCTCTCCACCACTTCAAAAACAATACAGTTGTTGCCAAGAAGGTGAGGCTTATTGACAGAGATATAAATATACTGTTGGTACTTGTCAATGTCTCTAGGTGTGTAAATGTAGCCCTGTAAATACGATGTCCTTCTGTGTTATTACATTACATTGCATTTAGCTGACGCTTTTATCCAAAGCGACTTACAATAAGTACATTCGACCAGGAAGACACAACCTTGAAGAAAACAGAATCATAAAGTACATCAGGTTTCATAGAGCCAAACATTTCAAGTGCTACTCAACTGGCTTTAGATAATCCAGTCCTTTATTAGTATATAAGTGCTTTGTTAATCGTTCTAACGCTCGAAGTGGAGTCGAAAAAAAGAGTTTTTAGTCTGCGCCGGAAGATGTGCAAGCTATCTGCCGTCCTGATGTCAATGGGGAGCTCATTCCACCATCTTGGAGCCAGGATAGCAAACCCACGTGTTTTTGCTGATGGGAACTTGGGTCCCCCTCGCAGCGAGGGCGCAGCGATTCGTTTGGCTGATGCAGAGCGTAGTGCACGCGCTGGGGTGTACGGTTTAACCGTGTTATCTATTTTATGTTCATGTTGTAACCTACTTGCTGCCATGTTGGACAGGTCTCCCTTGAAAAAGAGATCGATGATCTCAATGGGACCATCTGGTTAAATAAAGGTTTTTAAAAAAAAAAAATTGTTTTTTAAATCACAGTAGATTCAGTAGTAGTCAGTCTCTCGACGATATTGTGACGTTTATTTATCGCGATACAGTGTTATCCGGTATATCGTTCTATATCCTAATATTCACTCTTCAAAACTGAAACAACACCAACATTTTTAAAGCATTGCAGGCCTAAAGCTCCACGTAAGTGACCTATATTTAATTTCTTCCATCAAACTTTAAAAATGGCAAGCAGCAGGTTTTTAAAGATGTAATCTTTTAAGAAACAAAATATCAACTTTGAACAGAAGGGTTTAAAAACACGTTTTTAATGCAAATAAACTTGAAACATAAACCTATTTGTCATTTCAAAATGCACTTTTATTGTCTGCGTGAAAGGCACAGTAGGCTATGAGCGAATCAACATTCAAAAATTACAAAGTCGTACAATATATACCATGTAACGGTCTAGGATTAAGCATGATGAGACTTTTCAGCCCGTGACCCCAAAAATAACAGTGCCAGAGACTGGCGACCCCTGACGGGATAGTGATCTCCCGTGTGCAGGGCAGTGTGGCGGCGGAGGGATCCAAGGGCACCACCGGAGGAGAGGCGAGCGATGACAGCAGCATCACCATGGTTCAGATAGAGCAGACCGGGGAGTACCCACGATGCGGCTCCCCGCACAGACTGAGGGAACTTGTTACACGGAGCCCATCACCGGGGAAGCTGCCGGACCGAGAGTTTGATCCTGCCTGCGGCGGGAGAAGGTGGTCTGCTCGGACTGCCGTTGGCTCTGGGGTCCCTCCTTAAACAAATAAATAAAAACCTTTTAAATGAAATGTTCATCTTAACAGATAAGATTTGATCATTTATTTTAAATGTCAGGCCTACAGCATGGCCACAAACCCCATCTAAAAACAGAGGCTATGTCCTAATTACCTGATTGCATCCACCTGGGTTACTTGGCTCAACCAAATAACTTTATATAAGTTTACTTTAAACCACACTTAAAATTATAATATAATTATACATATGTTGTGACGTTTAGATACTACTGGGACCCCAAAGCAGAGACTGACAAAACGAAAGTTTCAATGAGTTTAATAAACAAAGGTAGTCCAAGGCAGGTAAAACATGTTGATCTAACTGCTAAAAGCAGAAGGATCTATGCACTCTCCATCATTGATACACATCCAGGCCTGCTCATCTCTCATTCAGGCTCCTCTCGTGACTGTGTTACATCTAGATATTATTATTGGAAGACACATCATTTTGTTCCTCTAAATGTCATCCATATTAAAAATTAACACATCTTCAGTAGATAACCCAGGTGTCATCGATCATTTCGGCCCATTACGTCTATACAATCTCGTCTGGGAGCAGGCCCTGCTTGGGAGATCAATTCCAGCAGTGTGTCTCATAAAAATTATGCAGCTGTCTGAACAGACTTAAGACTGCAGGAAGAAAACGCCGCTGGTTGAGTGTGCCAGATAAGGCCTCAATACTGTCTTTATTTAGAATCAGGTAAGTATTTATAAGAGAAGGTGATGTTAAGAGGACACATGATCCTGACAGAGTGAGTCTGAGATGGGACATGTACTCATATTTATAGGGGTAGGGGCGTGGCCTCGTAAAGCCTACGTATGTTCCCCGTCTGTTTTTCGTGTTTTTCTGTGAAAAGTTGATTGTTAATGCATTTCTTAATCCAATAACTTGACCCTTTGACCCCAAAAAGCTTAATGTGTTAACAGCAAGCGTGTTCCCCTAATTATTGCCTTTAATATGACTTTTTAGAATTAACCGCAAGCGTGTTCCTTTAAATAATGCCTTTAATATGGCTTTTTCAGGATAAACAGCACTCGTGTTCCTTTAAATATGCCTTTAATGTGGCTTTTTAGGGTAATCACGTTAGCGTCAGTTTTCAAGCATGGAGGCGAAACGGTTAAGTTTAGGAATTAAGAAGAGAGTGCGCATTTGGGAAAAATACAGATCTCCACACAATCACTTCGGAGTCCCAGACCTGAGAATTCACACACCATAGACGTGTAGTCAAGAGGCACTCGCTAGTTAGGTAAAACATGTTGATCTAACTGCTAAAAGGGTTAGGGTTAGGTTTTTGTAAGGGCCACCAGATCTCCCCATGTCGCCCGACGACTACATGGTTGTACAGAGATCCAAGGAAAGGCACGCGCACTAGAGGCATTGTCGGCTCATGCTCTAGCTCAGCATCATGACTGAATCATAAGTGTGTAAAGGTGAAGTAGACAGGGTAATTTAAGCTTGAAGGACAGAGACAAGGAGGCTAGCTGTAAAGACGGCGGACACCTTCCCCTTGCCGCAATGGCTGTATCTGTTTATGGCCCGTTTCCTTTCGTCTTCCCCAGAGAGGCCCGACCAGCAAGGGGGCGGAAAGAAAAGTTTATTTATGGCCCGAATCCTTTCGTCATCCTCAAAGGGGCTCGACCAGAAAGGGGTTGAAAGAAAGGTCAGAGTGAAAAAGTGGGGAGATAATGTGGTTTAGATTTAGGCAAAGAGCCAGAGTGGTCAAGGTTAATGGTCAGATTAAGGGTAAACTGGTATTGTTGGGGAACATAATAGTCCACATTTAGACTGAAGATGGTCTTATTATTTGATATTTAGTTAAGAGTGTACCATTAGTTAATTTTAGTGGTTATAATTAAGAGTCAGATAGCCCCGAGAATGTGGTTTTTAGGATTTAGGAGAGGATTATTGCTGAGAAATGGAGGAATATTATTCTACCCTCCTTAGTAGTCTGCTATAAGACCGGAGGAGTACGCTGTGTGTGTTGAGTTGTCAAAAATAGCTACAATGAACGTTTAGACCTCTGTCTGAAGGCCAAAGGAGTACGCTTTTTATGGATATTTATATTAGATTAGACTCGCAGCCAGAGCGGTTAGGTTTAGAGCTCAAATTAAGGATAAGATGGTGCACTGTTTGATGGAAACTAACTTAAGTTTAGGTATTCAATCTGAGTGGTTAAGTTTAGGGGTAAGGTTAAAGATTAGGTGCTCCATTTATTGCTGAGAAATGGAGGAGCATTATCCTCCCCTCCTTAGTAGTCTGCTATAAGACAGGAGGAGTAGGCTGTGTGTGTTGAGTGGTCAAAATAGCCACCATGAACGGTCAGACCTCTGTCCGAAGATAGAAGGAGTACGCCTTTTATGGAGATTTATATTAGATTAGAAAAGTAGACAGAGCGGTTAGGGTTAGACATTAAATAAGGATAAGATGGTGCACTGTTTGATGGATACTAACTTAAGTTTAGGCATTAAGTCTGAGTGGTTAAGTTTAGGGGTAAGGTTAAAGATTAGGTGCTACATTATTGTTGAACGATGGAGAATTATTATCCTCGCCTAATTAGTATTCTGCATAAGAGCAGAAGGATAACCAGCGCAGAAGGCCAAACATCCCTAGTGAAAGATAGTCAGTAGTTTTTTTGTACTCCCAAATAGAAGTATTTGGGGAACAAAATAGTCCTTTATATTGGTTGAAACACATCGTCAGTAATGAACCTGGAGGTCACAGGGGGTTTCAGCCATTATCACTAGACACCCTACTCCAGGGGGACCACCCCAGGTTGATCAGGACCTGGTGTTGTGTTGTTTTCTAAAAGCTCCCAACTAGGGGAAAAGGACTGGTAGGTAAGTGAGCAAGAGAAAGAGAGATAGACTGGGTTAAGTTGTTCTTACTTTAGAAGTGTTAAATTGTACTATTATTAAACCTTATTAATATTAAACCAGGAAGTACCTTGATTAAAATGAAAAATTGTGTTGTGACCAACCAGTGGTATTGCAACATTTCTAATTTGTTGTACCATGGGCTCTGTGGCCGAAAGAAGGTATTGCACAAATAGGAAAGTATATAAATTGTACTATTATTAAACCTTATTAATATTAATTGTATTGCTTTGTAAAGTCAGTTATGGTGTAGTTTTTATTTAATTTGAAAAAGTGCTATTTTATGATACTATCTTGTTCTCTGATATTAGTAAAAAGGTTATTTAAAAAAATGTAAGTTTGTACTTGTCAAATACGTTTTAATCCCTTTTTAAAAAAATCAAATAATTAAACCCTGAGCCTTCTGGGTAATCCCCCAAAGGACCAGGAAGTAAATTGATTAAAATGAAAAATGTTGTTGTGGCCAATCAGTGGTATTGCAACCTTTATACTTTATTGTACCATGGGCTTTGTGGCTGAAAGGAGGTATTGCACAATAGGAAAGTATCTAAATTGTACTATTATTAAACCTTATTAATATTAATTGTATTACTTTGTACAGTCAGTTATGGTGTAATTATAAATTAACTTACCAGCCAACTCACTTAAAACCAATTGTTTGCACCATTTCTGGTTTCCCCAGTTTTAAACCAGTTGGGACCAAAGAGCAGGGCGATCCCCTCAAAAGAAAGGGTCTTCCAGCCTCACACCAGTCCAGATAGAATCTCCCAAAGCCGGGGGAACCAGGTCCGATCAACATCAGCAATGATGGGGCACTGCCTAGTCAAAAAGAACTCTACCTCCCCTTAATCAGCCCCGGCAGACCAAAGTCAGACTGAGAAACCAACCGCACCAGAAAGGTAAGGTCCCATCAGGCCTTGGGGGGGATCAGGTCTAACCAACGTAAGCAGTGATGGGGCACCGCCCAATCGGAAAGACCCAAAACCCCGTGTCAGCCCGACAGACCGAGACCTAAATGAGGGAAGGGTTAACCAACCGCACCAGAAGGGTAGGGTCCCATCCGGCCTGGGGGGATCAGGTCTAACCAACGTCAGCAGTGATGGGGCACCGCCTAATCGGAAAGACCCAAAACCCTGTGTCAGCCCGACAGACCAAGACCCAACCGAGGGAACCCAGGTTTTACCTTTTTACAAAAGACTGTTCTATGAGCGTCATACACCGCAAAGCTTCAGAGAAAGTCTTGACATTTGTGTTAAAAACGTCAGTTAACCAAGGCTTTTAACTACTGTCTTGAGTTATGGTTCCATTGGAATTTTAATTACATTTGAAAAAGTGCTGTTTTATGATACTATATAGTTCTCTGATATTAGTAAAGAGGTTATATATAAAAAAAATATGTAAATGTATACTTGTTTAATACGTTTTAAGCCCTTTTAAAAGTCAAATAATGAAACCCTGAGCCTGATGGGTAATTCCCCAACAAACCAGGAAGTACATTGATTAAAATGAAAAATGGTGTTGTGGCCAACCAGTGGTATTGCAATATTTATAATTTTTTGTACCATGGGCTCTGTGGCCGAAAGGAGGTATTGCACCTTATAACTAAGTGATGACGTCACTTGTTAGCACCTAGCAACATGTTAGCTTAGCATTTAGCTTAAAAGTTAGCATTAGTTTTTAAGAGATATTTTTGTTATTTTTAAAGATGTTATCCTTTTGTTTATGTTTGTAGCACTAGCCTTTAGCTTAGCATTTAGCTTAAAAGTTAGCATTAGTTTTTTAGAGATATTTCTGTTAGTTTTAACATTGTTATGACGTCGCATGTGTTCCTAGCCATAGCTGTTAGCCTAGCATGTAGCTTAAAAATTAGCATTCGTTTTTTAGAGATATTTTTGTTAGTTTTAAAATTGTTATGACGTCGCATGTGTTCCTAGCCTATAGCTGTTAGCCTAGCATTAGCATACATTTTGCATTTGTTTTTTTTTGAAAAAATAAATTATTTTTAACTCATTCTAATCTTAATGTATTTATCTAAAAAGAGCAAAGTTAAAATGATAAACTCATTAGTAAATAAATCAAGATATATTGTTACACTTCTATTTGCGTTCCGATGAACTTTAAAGTTTAGGAGTGAATATAAGCGGACATTTAAACGCCTTCACTCAGTAGAATTGGTCAGTTAACCTTTTCTACTTGTTAGTCTAACCACAAAGTTTCGTGGTCCGACCAAAGTATTAGAAGTACATTTATTAATGTCTATATTTAGGAGTTTAGGGTAAGGATCTCTAGAGAGCACCATGTACCAGAGTAGGTCAGTGTCTACGTTCCACACTCCGCAGCCGGTTCTCTCTGTTAACCCATTACCCTTTAAAGGGACCCCGGGGGGGGGGGGGGGTTTAGGGGAAAAAAAAAAGGTTTGGGTTTATAAAGTGTACATTTAAATAGTAAATCTACTAATGTCTATGTTTTAGGAATTAGGGTAAGGATCTCCAGAGAGCACCATGTACAAGAGTAGGTCAGTGTCTACGTTCCACACTCCGCAGCCGGTTTTCTCTGTTAACCAATTACCCTCTAAAGGGACCCCGGGGGGGGGTTTTTTGGGGGGAAAAAAGTTTTGGGTTATAAAGTATACATTTAAATTGTAAATCTATTAATGGCTATGTTTTAGGAATTAGGGTAAGGATCTCCAGAGAGCACCACGTATAAGAGTAGGTCAGTGTCTACGTTCCACACTCCGCAGCCGGTTCTCTCTGTTAACCCGTTACCTTCTAACTGGACCCGGGTGGGTCAGAGGGGGGAAGATTTGGGTTATAAAGTAGAAAGATAAATAGGTGGACTGTTTTAAATGTAAGTAATTGTTACAATAAGGGCAAAGTTAAAATGGTACACTCGTTAGAAAATAAATTAAGGTATATTCTAACAGTTAAATCCTATATTATTATTATGTTTTATTTTGTCAGAAGTCATTCCCATCCTGCGATAAGTAAGCTAGGTTACCCTATAGGTTACACACTAGCTCTTCAATGATCATGTCATTGTATGGGGATGTTCTGGTAGATACTCTCAGACAACAGAGACGAACTCTTCATGACAGTCAAACTGATCACGGCCTAAGACTCATAAGGTAGGATTTTAAGGTGTTGGATTCCTAAATTAATTAAAATTAGATTTGGAAAGTAAAATTAGTGGATTTTTAAGCTATTATTCTGTCAGAAATAATTCCCATCCCACAATACGTCAGCTAGGTGTACCCGTATGGGTTTAGTTCACACTAGCCTTGAATGACGTCAACTAGTAATAGTAATAGTGGAGAGGAATAGAGGAGAGGAATAGTGGAGAGGAATAGTGGAGAGGAATAGAGGAGAGGAATAGAGGAGAGGAATAGAGGAGAGGAATAGAGGAGAGGAATAGAGGAGAGGAATAGAGGAGAGGAATAGTGGAGAGGAATAGTGGAGAGGAATAGTGGAGAGGAATAGAGGAGAGGAATAGAGGAGAGGAATAGAGGAGAGGAATAGATGAGAGGAATAGAGGAGAGGAATAGAGGAGAGGAATATAGGAGAGGAATAGAGGAGAGGAATAGTGGAGAGGAATAGTGGAGAGGAATAGAGGAGAGGAATAGAGGAGAGGAATAGATGAGAGGAATAGAGGAGAGGAATAGATGAGAGGAATAGTGGAGAGGAATAGAGGAGAGGAATAGATGAGAGGAATAGAGGAGAGGAATAGAGGAGAGGAATAGTGGAGAGGAATAGAGGAGAGGAATAGAGGAGAGGAATAGAGGAGATGAGCTTATTTCTGGACAATTCGACTGCAACCCCTGATCCTTATTCTAACTGCAGACATCGTTAGTAAAACAAACTGTAGGTGTCTTCTTCCCCAGTTTACTCTGTGACCTCTGACCTCTCAGTTTACTCTGTGACCTCTGACCTCTCAGTTTACTCTGTGACCTCTCAGTTTACTATGTGACCTCTGACCTCTCAGTTTACTCTGTGACCTCTCAGTTTACTCTGTGACCTCTGACCTCTCAGTTTACTCTGTGACCTCTCAGTTTACTCTGTGACCTCTAACCTATCAGTTTACTCTGTGACCTCTAACCTCTCAGTTTACTCTGTGACCTCTCAGTTTACTCTGTGACCTCTAACCTCTCAGTTTACTCTGTGACCTCTAACCTCTCAGTTTACTCTCTGACCTCTCAGTTTACTCTGTGACCTCTCAGTTTACTCTGTGACCTCTAACCTCTCAGTTTACTCTGTGACCTCTAACCTCTCAGTTTACTCTGTGACCTCTAACCTCTCAGTTTACTCTGTGACCTCTGACCTCTCAGTTTACTCTGTGACCTCTGACCTCTCAGTTTACTCTGTGACCTCTAACCTCTCAGTTTACTCTGTGACCTCTCAGTTTACTCTGTGACCTCTAACCTCTCAGTTTACTCTGTGACCTCTGACCTCTCAGTTTACTCTGTGACCTCTCAGTTTACTCTGTGACCTCTAACCTCTCAGTTTACTCTGTGACCTCTGACCTCTCAGTTTACTCTGTGACCTCTAACCTCTCAGTTTACTCTGTGACCTCTAACCTCTCAGTTTACTCTGTGACCTCTAACCTCTCAGTTTACTCTGTGACCTCTAACCTCTCAGTTTACTCTGTGACCTCTAACCTCTCAGTTTACTCTGTGACCTCTGACCTCTCAGTTGACGCTGTGACCTCTAAGTTTACTCTGTGACCTCTAACCTCTCAGTTTACTCTGTGACCTCTGACCTCTCAGTTGACGCTGTAACATAATCCTGTCTCTTCCGGTTCTAACAACATGTAACATGTTAACATGTAATGTAATGGTTTGTTTTCAGACTCAGCGAGCTTGGATCGAGAGAACCTTCCAGAAGAGAGAATGCATGCAGATAATTCCCAGCACAGATGCCAGCAGGTACTGCAGCAGATCCAGCTCTACAGAGGGGGGGGGGGGGGGTCACTTATTAATGCTACTCAGCACCTGACTGAGGACATCATAATGTTCCAATATCTGAAGTCATCCTAATAACATCACAGCTAGGGCTGTGCAATTAATCGTATTTTAATCGCGATTACGATTATGGTTTGCGACGATTAGGAAAACAGCATAATTGACAAAATACGATTATTTTGCTGGTTGCGCTTTCGCCCCTCCCTGAAAGCCCACTCGGCCACGTGGGAGTGACATGTGTTGTGAGTGTTCAGCGCAAGCGAAGATGTCAGAACAAGAGCAGCAACCAGTTAAAAAGAAGGGTGGCGGTGAGATTCCCAGTCGATCGCGAGATGTGTCTAAAAATAGAACAACAATATTCTGTTTTATCGTTAATGTCCTGTAACATAATGTTCCCGTGCCAGAATAATGCACTTGAACGCATCAAAGCTTTGTGATTGGCCGGCCTCACCCCATGTGTCCGGGCGTGGCTGGTGAGCAGTGCACTATTTCGCTGAGGTTGTCCGTGTCAACAGGAGTGACAGTCCGCACACACACAAGACCACAATTATGGCAGAAGCAAAAAAGCCCAAAATATATCATGTTCACTCCGAGTGGGAGGATGATTATTTGTGTATCTATTCCAATTCAAAGTCCATCTGTCTCATCTGCAATGCGAGCGTGGCTTTATCGAAGAAGGGTAATTTAGGAGCGGCATTTCAAAACAGTGCACAAACGCTACGAGACGGAATTCCCTCCTGATTCTGCCCTATGTTCCAAAAGGGGAGGGGCCTGAGAGGACAGCTAAATGCACAGCAGTCCATTTTCACCAGGCCCAACAACAAGAGCAAGGCTGCTACCAGAGCATCTTATCGTGTCAGTCACGTTCTGGAGAAACACATGAAGTCTTTCAAAGACGGCGAAGTTGTGAAAGAAGCTTTCCTGGAGGCTGCGACGCGCTTTTGGGGGACAGTAAAAATAACAGAAGCATTTCAACAGGTTTTTGATATTTAAAAACTCAAGTTAGATACCGTTATTAATCAGCTGTGAGTTTTAGTTTGTTTGAACTTATTAATTATAATTATTGTACAAAATGGTATAAGAATGCAAACATTCAGATCTGTTCTGTTTAAATTGATTATAGTCTATCAGTTCAGAAACTAGTGTTGCTTGCATCCTATTTTAAAGGCATTTATTTTTATACTCTAATAAAATGCAACAAAAAAAGGGTTTGATTCTATTAATGTTGTCTTTTTTATTGCACTGTTGCTGCAGCAGATTACTGTGTAGCTT